CTGCCGGCATCCGTGCGGGCGCGGGTCTTCTCGCTCCCAGGACGCCCTCCTCTTCCCCGCCCTCTGGGGCTGTCCCGCAGGGTGTGCGTTGGTGTCTCCCAGCTCTGTTGACCTGCTTTTGTGTTCTGTTTTCTCTGCTTTTTGGGGGGCCTTCCTTTGACTTAACCAAACACGCTTTTTTGTGTTTTCCTCTCCTCTGTTAACCTATTCATGATGCAGTCACGTTTACGGTGGTGCCGTGGTGCTGCACTTCCTGTGTGGTTGCATGTGTGGAAAGCATGAGGGCAATTAGCAAGTAATCATGATGAACTGTTTCACACACTTGCAACTGTGAACCTACCTTTGCCTCACCCTGTATGTGTTAGCACTAAATATATTTACACAATACTTTGTTTACCGTTGTTCTTGTTTACCAGGGAGGTTTTTCCTAGAGGTTGCAGCCTGTGGTCCTCTCTCCGTCCCAGCACTTGCAGTATGGCTCCCTTGGATTTCGGTTCCGTGTGTTGTGAATACCACAATATTTTATTAATTGTTTTATGGGGTCAATATTGATTTATCTTTACCTTTTTAAAAATACCGGTACAGTTGCGCTTTAGTTCTTTCTGCCGTTATATTTCTCTGAAAACCCCCTGGAGTATTTCTGTGCTCCCCCTGCCTTGGTGAGGTAGAATAAGACAGACAGGCGCCTCTGTCCAAGTCGAAGGCGTGTGCCCGGCCGCGCGACTCCCGGGTGCGCTGTGGCCCTGCCCGCCTCGGTGTCAGCCAGCGCCTCTGCGGGGGCGGCATTCTCTTCCTGGGTGAAAACGGTTCCCGTTTTACCTTCCTGTTGGAGCATCGGTTTGTGCACAGCTGTAGACTTTTGGCTTCTGTTCGCAGCACCTCAAGGCTCTCCTGTTGCCCAGTTTCCCCTGCCCTTGCTGCGGCCAGCTCTGGCCTGAGCCCTGCTGCTGCCCAAAGGCACGTGTGTTCCCCCCCGACCCCGCTGTCCCCCCGCGGCCTCGCGGAGCTCCTGTGGCCCTCGGTTTTCACCAGCGTCGCTGTGTGTGCCTGGACGCGCTCGGCCACTGGTTTTTAGTCTCGGGTGAGCTGGTGTTTCGTTTACCTTCGCAGGCATGCTAGACAGAGCCCGCTGTCTGGGTGGGAAGGGGCTGGGCCGGGCTGGGAGCAGAGCGGTAGAAGCCTGTGCAGGGGACGCTGGCCAAGAGTCCCGGCCTGGCGAGGAGGTCCCTTTGGTTCTGCCCTGGCTGTGGTTTTGAGCGAGAACCTGTAAATGTTTTAACAAGTGGCTCCACAGTGTTGGAGGTAATGTTTGGAAGCAGCTTCAGTGTTTTTGCTTTTCAGGATTTTAGAAAGTAAATTTGTTTAAAAGTCTTAAACACTCAAGTTTATGGTAGGTTATTGCTGTTTGTTGAACTTTTTTTTCTGTAAGCGTCCTGCAGTAAATTCTTCCCTTTTTTGCAGAGACACTTGCTTAAAAGACTTGTCACGTTGCACGGGTTTTGCTGAGGTGCGCTCCCCAGCATGCCTCGGTAGTGGCGTTCACAGAGCTGTTCAACGCGCTGCCGCACGCCCTCCCGCCGCTCTGCGCCTCTGAGGGCGCTGCCGAATGGCAGCGCGTGCTGGCCTTCAGCCGCCCCAGCCCTTCTCCCTTCTTGGCTCAGCAGCTTGGAAACCCAGCGCCGGGCCCCTGTGCAATGGGGCCCGGCGGCCCCGCCAGCGGCACAGCCCAGCGAGAGGCTCGGCGTGACGCCCCCCGTGCCCGTGTGGATGCGGAGCTGCCCAGGGGGACAAGCTGTAGGCGTGAGGGGAGGCGCCCCCCAAAGGGGGGTCCTCGCAGGCCCTCGCGGGGCTTCGGGCCCCGACAGCGGCCCGGCGTTGCTGCACTGGGCCCGGGCGTCGGGGCTGGCGCTCCTGGTGGGCAGGCGCCCGGCGAGGCTGCAGAGGGGACCGCACACTCTGGACTCGCTCCTCCGCCCCGGGAAGGGCCTTCTCAGGCGGGGCCGTGGGGGCCACCGCCCCGGTGCGCCACCGCCTGCGCCTGTGCCGACCTGAGACCCGAGCGCTGGCCGGGCGTTCCGCCAGCCCTTTGTGACGGGCGTGCTCCCGTGTGACCTGGGCAGTGATGTCGGGGGGCGGGGCGGGGCGTCGGGGGCTGTCTGCCGCCATCGTCTTGGGCCCCCCGCCTTGACCTGTGGCGACCTGTGGCGACCTGTGACGAGGTGGGAGCAAAGCCCTGTCGTCCGTCCTCGCGGGGCAGCTCTGGGTCAGGAGGCCCTGGCCGCGCGGCTCCCGGGCTGCCAGGCGGCTGGGAAAGACGCGCAGCGAGAGCCTGTGCCTTAGAAAGTGGCGAAGCAGCTCGTGGCCCTTCTTCCTCACTGTGGACGTGGTGCTGTGCTGGCACATCCGCACACCTGCTGGTTGTAAATCCCCGGCTGTAGCTGCGGTTATGTTAGAGAACTTACTAGGTCAGTTGTTTTACTTGCTGAAGCCTGCTAACTAATTCTGTAAAACGCATTCAGTAAGATTTTCTTTTCTTTAGCAGTGATGGTTGTATGTTTTGGCAGGTTGAACTTAAGCTAGAATTGGTCTTCAATAGCCATCTTATTTAAAAAAAAGACATCTTTTGTCAAGGACCACAAAGTCATGAAGGGTTTATGTTTTGGTTTGTTTTTCAAGATTTGCTTGAAGACCCAGGCTCACTATTTTATAGTTACTTTATTTATTTAATAGTTAAAGGAATGAATCTGAGTTCATTTTCAGAGCAAATATGGTTATTTGGAAAAATAAGACAGTTACTTTTAACCTAGGTAGATTCAAGTTTGAATCATAAGATTTTCTTCCTTTTAAAATTTTCCTTTGCAGCTAAGCAGGAGGAAACTACTAGATTTTTAAAAATTATTTGCTCCCCAGAGGAGGAAACTGCAGAAGCTCAAAACAGAGGCGCGGCTGCTGGGCCCGTCCTCTCCGCTGGGGGCCTCGCCTGGGGGCCCCATCTGTCCCAGGCTCGCGCGTCGCCTGGCGTGTGTCTCCCTGGGGCTCAGGTCTTGTCCCTGCTCTTGGAGGGGCCCGGGGGGCTCTGGCTGAGCCCCTCCATGCCACTGACACGGGTGCAATAGCCGACGGCCTCTTGGCGATGAGTGTTTCCTGCGTAAATTGTGAAGCAGGGTTGTCCACCCTTGAAATCTGTTCCTGGGAAACTGTTTTAGGAGCGAGAAGGGGCCTGCAGGGGCGGGATGGGGGGTGGGGGGGGGGGGGGGGAAAATAACTGCACCAGGTGGGGGTGGCGGGGTGACGCAGGGACCTTCCCAGGGGCTTGGTGCTGAACCATAAAACGCCCGTGTGCCAAATTTACATATTTACTCATTAAAAAGGCTTCCTGGAAACACTGAGTCGACTGTCTTCTGCGGCCTTTCACACTGTCACTAATGGATGTCGCATAGAGAATTTCGTCGAGGGCCCTTTAAATAACATACCTGATTATGAACATGGAACTAGCTAACGTGCGGCTGCGGTGGGACAGTCACGCCGAGGTTAATGAACACGCTGCCGGGGGTGCGCAGGCCCCCGGGCCCGTGGCCCCGGCGCACTCGGAGCCGCAGGCGCCCGCGCGGGGCCGCAGAGCCGCCTGACCGCCGCGGGGCTGCCTCGCGTAATGGGCTGTTCAGTCGGAACTCCGTGGGAAGGATTCCGTCATGTCAGTCTCTCTGTCAATTTTTGTTCTATTCTGTTTGTGTGTTTTATAATTATTGCCAAACCAGAAACGGCCACGTGGCTCCAGGTGCGGAGCAGCCGAGCTGCCGAGCGCTGCCCCGAGAGGGACTCGTCCGCCGAGCCGGGGCGGCAGGCCCCGGCGTTGGGTTGCAGCATGGTTTTTGGTCCAGGGCTGCTGCCTGAGTATTTAAGGTGTCTTAAGGCAGGGGTGAGGGGTGGGGGGTGGGGGTGGGCGTGGGGGGGCTTTGTTTCCGGGATTAGCCGCTACACCGGAAGAGTTCAGTGACAGCCCTGCCGCTGCCGCCTCGCGGTGTCTGGGGACCCTGCCGAGGGCGCGCAGGAGCCCGGCGTCGCCACCAGCATGGGGGTGCATGCAGGGTGCCGTGCGCCGGGCTTTTGCGCAGCCTTCATTCCGCAGTTTCTCCGACTCCGAAATGGCGCTGCTGCAGTACTTGAGATTATTGTTTAAAATTCTTATTAATGGACTGTTAACAATAGGTGATTAATACTCTTTGAAAACAGCGCTACTTCTAAATTGCCATTCAAGTGTTCCCCCCCCCCCCTTTATCAGTTAGTGTTCGTGTTTTCTGCGCATTTTTAGAATCTCCTGAAATACCTCTAAGGGAAACAAATAACTTTTATATTTAATTTTATTGTTTTAGTATTATAAACATAGTTTCGACTGGCTAGGAAGTGCTTAAAATTTTATCATAATTCACCAGGGGAACAAATGGGCTGTTCAGAGCATCTCTTTATCCCAAGTATTTCTTTTTGAAAATGTAGTAGAAAAATATCGCTGAACTCATTTTTAATGCGTCAGAATAAAAATTACAGGTGAAAACATTTGGAGATACACTGACAACATAAAGTATTTTCACTGCTGTCATTTCTTTTTTTTACTGATGAAACATGGATGTTACATTGGCTTTTTTGTTATTTATAACATTTGTGTATTCTACAAAATATGTAACATTGAAAACAGGTCTGTAGATTGTACAAAATACTAGTTATCTTATATCATGTGTCATCTAATGGCTCTGCAGCGGGTCTCGCACCAAGTGTGAGTCGGGAAGCTGTAATTTGTTCTGCAGTTATCAGCCTGCGTTAAAGGGCTGTGATGAAGTGCGCTGCTTCCAAACGAACACTCACCTCGCCAGGCATTTGACAAATAAAAATGGAGGCGGAGGGGCTGTTGAATCTGTAAAGCTGCCGCTCCGGTCTCCTGACCCACTGACGTGGTGGGTTGCGTGGCCCTGCTTTCCTTGACGAGTTGTCTGTTCCCATGACAGGTGGTCACCGGCTGCCAAGAGCGGATCCAGCACTGGTGAGTGAGGCACCCCCCGCCCCCCGCCCCCCTGAAACCCTTTCGGGCCACCCAGCTGTACCCAAGTAAAGGGTGCGCTGTTCTCGGTTACCCGTAATTGAAGGCGTCTAGCGCTCTCCATCTTGAATGTTTTTGCCCCTAATTTATGTTGTCTTTCACCATTTTCTGACTTACATGTTCCATGATTTCCTGACACTATATCACTATTTGTGTTTATTCTAATTGCCTTTTTTCTGCTTTTTTTAAGTACAAATAATAATATGAAGAGACAAGATGTTTTTGCACTAGACTAATCATAGCTCTATTTGGGAATATTTCTTGTATTTATACTAGAGTAATAATTGGAATCAGTTGTTTTAAAATAAGGGTGGAAATATGCACATTTTCCTCAAGTTTGAAAACCTGATTAATTGCCCGCGTCGCGCACTTGCTGCGGGGACCACGCTCGCTTCGAGCTCAGGGAGAAGGCAGGAGCGCCTTGCCGGCCTCCGTTCCTGGGGTGGCGCCTGGCAAATAGCGCCTTGCTCCGTCCTCTGGGGATGCGCCCAGCGAGCGGTGACTGAAGTCCTGCAGGAGAGCCGCCCGCGGCCTCGCGCGGGCCTCGCAGACCGGAGATCCGAGGATGCGCGCTGCGCGCACGGAGGCTTCCCAGCACCCCGGTGGCGGCCAGCGGGGAGGGTCTCGCTCCCGCAAGCTGGCGGCCTTCGGCGCTGAGCCACTAACCTGCTGAGACGCCAGCCAGCATATGTTTTAAATCTGTTTTAAGAGGCGTTTTCTCCATGCCCGAGGGACCTCCAAGGGAATGATGTGCAGTTAGTGTGCAACAAACGTTTCTTGGTCCCAGTGCGCGGCGGCTGCCAGCTGGGTGCGAGGGCGGCCCCTGCGGCCTGCGCACCCCGCCCCTGAAGGCAGAAGGCCGCCGGGCGCACCCCGCCCCCGCCGCGCCCAGAGACCCCGGGCCTGGCCGGCTCCCAGTGTGAGTCCTGCTGCCGCCCCCCATGGGGGGTGGGGGCGTTCTCAGCGCTTCCTAATGGGCCTCCTCTTTCCTCAGATGCCCTTTCTCGGCTGAAACTCAGCAGGCAAGTCCCCGCCAAAGAGTCAGTCCCCCCCACTTGGTGAAAGTGAACCATTTCACAAATGGTTCTTGGAGGAAGTTTTAGTTTTGGTAAGGAATTAGAAAAATTAGCAAAAGTCTGGATTCGGTGAGCAAAGATACTGACTTACACAAACGTGTGAGGAGCACCTTGCTTCTGGTATTCTCGTGAGATCCTTTCGCCCCAAGATGGAGAGTCCTGCAGGACGGGGGCCTGTGCTCTCCTGTCCCCTGCAGCTCGGCGGCGGCCCCGAGTGTCTGCGTCGAGGCGGGTGGTGGACCACGGGCCCAGCCTGGCACATGCAGCTCCGCCCGCCCCGTGTTACCACGCACGCCACACTTGAGAAGCTTAGCGCACCTACCTACCCGCATCTGTTTTATAAAAAGCTGGAACTATGTTTTCCAGTTAGAATTTGAGAATTTGCATTTTCCTCTGAGTTTCTAATGTGGCTCAGGAAACAGACTTCCCCACCTGCTCTTTGATGAGGACCTGACCGCGCTATAACCTGCAGGCCCCTGACGTCCCAGTTATCATGGGAAGAGCCTGAGGTCAGAGTGTGTCCCTTCCTCTGGGGGCCAGGCGTCGCTGTCGGGGAGCGTGGGGGACCCCTCAGCCCCCTCCCACGCCGTCACTGCAAGTGGCCCCTGCCCAGCGGTGGAGCTCCTCCTGGGGCCGGGTTAGGCTGCGGGATGGAGAGGCCCCGCCCTGGAGGGCTCCCTGCCATGGGCAGGGCGTCACCGCAGGCCACGCCAGCGCAGCGGCCAGCCCCCTGCTCTGTGTGCCTGGTGCCACTGCGCTCGGGCCCTCGAAGCCTTGGCTCCTGCAGCCGCGCGCCCCTTCCGGCTGCGCAATGGCCCGCGTCGGGAAGGAAGAGCCATGTCCTGATGTTCACAAGTGCCTTTGGTGTCTGCTGATGTCCACACGCATTTGTGCCCTTTTAAAGGGTTCCTCTTACGGGACAAGTCATGAACATTCTAGGCTTCAAAAATAATCTGAATTTTTAAAAAAAGTGTAGGACAGAAAGTAAAACTGCTTGTAGAAAAGTAAGAATAAAAATGGCCTGAGGCCCTGGGACCTGTTCCCCCGTTTCTTCCAGAAGCTTCAAGCCCCGGAACCTTGGTGAACTAAAGATATTTACAGTGTGTTTAGTTAATAACATAAGAAAGGTTTGAGTCTAATAGTTGAGAGTTTGTACAACATTTTTAGAGCTAATAGGGTTTTTACTTAGTGAAGGTTAAAAAAACTTTTTTAAAGACTTTTTAAAAAATTGTTTATTTTTTCAAATACATTTGTCTCCGAAAGACTCATTTATTCACTGTTAGAGAGAGGGCGAGGGAGGGAGAAAGCAGGGGAGGGGTGCTTACCGGCCGCCCCTGCACCGCCCGCCCCCCCACTCCCCCGGTCACCTGGCCCGCGCGCTGATGGCTAATTGGACTGGTGGCCTTTTGGTGTGAGGGATGGCGCTGAACCTGCTGAGCAACACCCGCCGGGCAAGATTAAAAAAATTTTACTACTACTTCTTGCCCCTTGTAAGCCATCTTACTTTACTTAGAAAATAAGGTCTTATAAAATCCACACACTATTTTTTTCATAAAATACGGATATGCTTCCCACTGTTTGATGCAGTAGGAGCTGTTTATCTAGTTGCAGATTATCGGTAATTTTTGATCTTTTTAGTTCTTTCCTAAAGGGCCTGGGACTTGGAGTCCCAGACCTACATTCGAACCCTGCCATTTACTGGCTTTGCGGCCTCGGGTGGGCTGCCGAGACCCCTGGCGCTCCGCGTGTGTGGTGCCGGTGAAGCTGCTCGACTTGAAGGTCAAGTGAGACGGTTTCTGTAGGGCGGACCCCCTGGCTGGCGCTCAGTAAATATTCACATTAGCTCTGGAACCTTTCTTGAAAATTTTAGTTGTCAGGTGAATAAAGAAAAACAAGCAAACAAGCAAGCAAAACCCTCGCCAGGGCCTGGTGAATATGACCGAACACCACCGTCTCCTTGGCCGGGGCGGCGGGCTCTCGGAACCGCACTGCCGCAGCGCGAAGCCAGCCTGTCAGAGCGCCTCGTGGCGCAGGGATTTTAAAGAGGTGACAGGGCAGGGCAGCGGGTCATTGGGATGAGGAACAGCCAACTGCTGAGCACAGGCTCCAGGTCATTGGGGCGAGCGTCTGGTCCGACGTCGTGTTGTCACGGGGGAGCCGCACAGTGTACCAGAGCAGGTGCACGAGTGTGTGCACGTCCACGCACACCCGTGTGCACGCGGTTTCTGGAAAGGTTGGCAAGAAGCTGGTAAAAATCGGTTGTTCACAAAGAAGAAAATGACTGTGGGGGAGGGGAGGGGGAACGAGGCACCGTCAGGGCCCTGGAGAACGTCTTAAATTCTGAACTGGCTCGATACGCTGCCTCATTCTCAACCTCAAATTTAAAAGTTAATCTAGAGCCCTTGTATCTTAGAGATACATACAGAATTGCCCTGACCAGTGTGGCTCAGTGGGGTGGGCGTCGTCCGGGTCCCAGGTCGGGACGCAGGCCTGGGTGGCAGGGTTGGCCTCGGGTGTGTTTCTCTGCTGCTCTTTCTCCCTCCCTTCCCCTCTCTCTAAAAGTAAATAAATAAAATTTTACAGATTTTACAAAGAGATCCATGCTGAACGAACTATTTCCAGGTGGAATGCCATGTTTAGGACTCGCCGCAGAGTCTGGGGCTGGGCAGGCCACGGGGCAGGTGCGCGGGGGTCGCTGTGCAGCCACCGCCGCACTCTGCCCGCGTGCGTGCGCGCTGCGAAGCGAATAGTAGCGAGGCCTGCCTTCAGTGATGGCTTAGGTTTTCCTTTTTACTACTTAGCGCTGTTTCAATCATTTAAAGGAATTTTATTTTTTAAAGATACTTATTATTTAGTATTTAAAGGAAATTGGAGTCTATCACTTGCCTCAAACAAGGAATGTAGGACTTTTTACCTATAAAGACTATATTTTGGTCAGTCACATTTAGGAAGAGGATTAAAAATACAGTCCGTCTCATATTCCCCAATCTCCTCTTTCATATTCTGTTAAGAATATCTTCAAGCAGGCAGAAAAATCCGAAGGAATTATATAGGTGACCCTTGACCGCATGTCCGTCCGTCCACACCCTGTTCCATGCAGCTGCTTTTCTGTTTGGACAGCGGGGTGCTTCTGGAAAAGCCTGCGCCCCTTCCGCTCTCCCGCGCTCTTCACAACTTCAGGAGACAAGGCGGTCCCCACGGGTGTGCCCTGACCTTCATCCGCAAGGTGAAGGCTGGTTCCTAGCTGTGTTGTGTCCTTTGCTGCCGACTTTTAAGACCAAAGGAGCTCCTCAGAAGTCTGAGAGCAGATGATCGACGAGGCTCAAAGCGTGGGCGTAGGAGTTCCCAGGCAGCTTGATAGCAGTGCTACAGGTCTGGTTCTCTGGAGGAAGGTTGCCTGAGGGCCTCTGATGCAAATTAAGTCTTACTGATTGGATAATTTTTGTAAAAAGCTCTCATTTATTTATTTTTAGAGAGGAGAAGGGAGGGAGAAAGAAACATCAACATGCGGTTGCCTCTAGTGCACCCCCTACTGGGGACCTGGCCTGCAACGCAGGCCTGTGCCCTGACTGGGAATCGAACCTGTGACCCTTTGGGTCACAGGCTGGCACTCTGTCCACTGAGCCACACCAGCCAGGGCTGATGGGATAATTTAAAAAAAATTAAGAATCAAAAGCTGAACATCCTCTATGAGGGTCAGATATAGTAAAGCCAGCAAGGAGCTCTATAGAGTATAAGCAGACTTGAGAAGTTAACCTTGCTGGGGCTTCATTGTCCATTTGAGAAAACATCATTTTAAACAGTTGCGTCTTTTGACTACATGTTTTAACGTGACTACAGTGTCCCAAAATGTTTCTGAGTATTGGGTTGGCCAAAAAGTTACTTCGGTTTTTTCTGTACGATGGCTCTAGTAGTGCCTAGTTGTCTTTAACTTCATTGGAAACAACTTTGTTAGGTTGTATTGTGACAGCTGCCATATTAGCTGTGCATTTAAAAACTCATCAAAATTGGTGAATTTTTGTGTAGCAATTTTATTTTTGAAGGTGGAAGAAAATAAGCAACTTTTTTTTTGGCATATTATGCTTTATTATTTCAAGAAAGGTAAAAATACAACTGAAACACAAAGAGAAGGTTTGTGCAGTGTAGGGAGAAGGTGCTGTGACTGATCGAATGTGTCTGGTGTGGTTTGTGAAGTTTTATGCTGGAGATTTCTCGCTGGATGATGCTCCACGGTTGGACCAGTTGAAGTTGATAGCGATGAAACTGAGACATGAATTGAGAACAATCAACATTATACCATGTGGGAGAGAGCCGGCCTACTCAAAATATCCAAATCAGTAAGGTTATTGGTGAAAATGAAAAGATGCCTTTTATTTTTCAGAAAAAAAACAATATGGACTTTTTGGCCAACCCAGTCGCTCATGAGAAAGGTGCATTGGATGCTCACTGACGTCCCGTGCTCGGCACCGTGCCCACTGTGGGGCGCGCGGCCGCAGTCCAGCGTCCCCCGAAGATGCTGAGATGGGCGCGGTTCACGGCGGAGCTGGGGTCGTACTTCAGCGCCATATTCTTTCTGGTCCATAGCCCTGTGCATGGAAAAAAGTTTTAAAAAAATCATCTCATTCGTATAAAAATTTATCCAGAAGGATGATCTTCCCTTAAATGACTAGAATGAAGACTTATGTTTGTATATAAAAAAAGGATTTTGGGGGAAAGTTTTAGAAAAGCTCTTGAACACCAGAAAATGAACAGGCCGGCCTGGTGGCCTCACTCAGTCCCCGCGTCCGCCCTTGGCGGGGGGTGGGGCCTGCCTTCCCCTCCAGCGCGACCTGCCCCGCTCGCTCTTCTGTGAGAGGAGGGTGGTGGTCAGCGGAGTCTAGAGGGATATTTTTAGGATGAGTAACATACATATGGAATTCCTTAGTATTCCTGAGACTGGTGAGGTAATTTTTATTAATTATGCTACTGTTGCTTTAGGGGAGGCGAGGAGTAAGCGGAAGCCAATTCCATGACGCGCATAGAGCAGTCATTTTTATTATCTGGAGAGCAATTATCCATGTTGCAATTTATCCTAATTTCAATTTGACAATATCTACATGTTCTTCTAAATTACTCGTTGAATTGGTGAGTTTTTGTTACTTAAAAACAATGGCAGAGCCCTTCTGCTTTAACAAATTTCCGAGCGCCGGCTTTGCCGGGAGCCGACACCGATCTCCAGGGCGGTCGGCCTGGGCCTCTGGGCCTGGGGCCGCCCCCCAGCAGCTGTGAGGTCTGAGCGGGGCTCCCCCGGACGGCCCAGGGCCCCCTCCACGCCCACGGGGTCACACTTGTGGGCTGTTTGAAAGGAGTCTGCCAGGCAGCTCTGGTTCGCTGTAACGGGACAGACTGCAGGCCCAGCCGTGCGCCCTGTGTGTGGCTTCGGCCCCGTTGCTCCCGGCCCGCCCGGCGGAGCCCCGCACCTGGGTCCCCGCACCTGGGTCCCCGCACCCGGGTCCCGCCGGGGGGCTAAGGGTCGGCACTGCTGCCCTTTGCAGCCTCCAGTGTTCTTTGTTAAGAGAGGGTTTTTACGTCAAAGCATACTTTAATCCTTAAATTGCTCCAAATGGGTTTTGCCTTGTGTGATGCTGTGTAGCCTGCGTGAGGAACTAATTTGCGTATTCATTTAGTATTTGGTGTTTTTTTGTCAACAGGAAGAAGGTGGATAATGACTATCACGCCCTTCAAGAAAGACTCAGCGCCCTGCCCGACAAGCTGTCTTACAACGTCATGGTATGTTTGGCGTGTGTTTCTCTTACAGTCTGTTGTTTCTCGTGCAGGTAGTAGCTGCAGAAAGCAATGCGCCGCTTCCTCACCTGGGCGGCGTGTCGGCCCACGCGCTGCGCAGCCCGCGGCCTGTGTCGGGGCGGCCGCCCTGGCAGGGAAGGTCGGTCTGTTTGACTTCATGATAACACGCCAATTACAGTAATAGTTGATATTTACTTACATACTTTTTTCCCCAGACTGATATTAAATTATCACATTATGGTGACATCAGTGGCATAAATGTTAGCACGAAATTTGACATATTTGGTATGCAGATCGACTGTGTTAGAGAACTGTAATTACTATAGAAATACGGCACTTGGGCGCTTCCTGTTAGCCGGAGCCGGAGCCGGAATGGACCATAATGTGTCATTCGCAGAATTAAACCCTAGAACATTGATTTTATGTAAAAAGGTACTGCTAATTTTTGTTTGAATGAGCTTCCCATTGACACAGTCATCTATTCATGAGCCCTGGGTCACGTCCTTTCACTGCGTGAAAACCCTTTTTCATGAAGACTTTGTCCTCAATTGCATGAGCCCGCAGACTTTGTGCGTGTATTGTTGTCTATTGTCCTGGCCCAGACATTTTGTGAATTTTACAGACTCGTTAAAACTATGTATATGTTCGTTCCTGCTCTGCAAAAAGAAATAGCTATTTTATTGGAAATAATTTTCAGTTTAAAAAAAATCAAAGGTATTAACTTAATATTTCATTACCTGTTTGCCTTCATTTAGGGTTATGAATGAAGCACAGGTATAAACATTCAGAGACAATGCTGACTTCTGTGATAGCTGCATATAAATGTGCTGATATCTTTCCCCAGAGATGATTTATTAACCTAAAACAATTTTCTATAGGTTCTCCTAGTGAAACTGTAACATAAAGTTAAATTTCTGTGACGCCAACATTTTATTTTTCTTAGTGTATAGATAAAAAAGACCTCAACGAGAGCTTTTAATGCTGTGTTCCATAAAATGTATTTTTTGGTGTTCTTATTTATTTATTTTTTAATAGGTACCATTCGGCCCCTTTGCCTTCATGCCTGGAAAACTCGTCCATACGAATGAAGTCACTGTTTTGCTTGGGGACAACTGGTTTGCAAAGTGTTCAGCGAAGCAGGCTGTAGGCCTCGTCGAGCACCGGAAAGCGCGTACGTACCGGCTGCAGACGGCGCATCCTTGCTTGGGGTGTCTCGGGGCGCCGGGCTGAGGGCTGGTCGCTCCTCCAACGCCCCCATGACCTGCTGGCCCAGGCTGGCTGTGGTGGTGTCGCCGTGGGCTTGGGGCCGGTGGGCGCGCGCGTGACCCGAACGGCCCCTCCGGGGCGGACCGGGGCCCGGGTCATGTTCCCCGAAAGGCAGAGTGTGAGTGCGTCCCAGGCGGCTTCGCAGGTAGGAGTGGGGGAGCTGCAGGAATGGCCGCCTTGGGCTCTGTGGCCGGCGGGTGGGAGGCGCCCGCGCTGCCCTGGGTGTGCCCCGGAGGGGGGGCGGGGCAGGGCTCGCTTCCCACGCCGGGCAGAGGCCATCCTTAAAGAGGCATCCGGCTGGGAAGAAGCGGCGTCTTCACTCTCTAGAAGGTGGGGTGCTGCCCGCACCGCCCCAGTGCATGTCCCGTGTCCCGCAGCCTCTGCCTCGCTCGGTCGAGCCGATTCTTTGGCTCTGTCGGTCTGTGGTGCCACGCGGCGGTGTGTGCATGTCTCTCTCACACGTTCCACAGTGGTCGGATGGGTTGGTTGAGTCCTGCCTTAACCACATTTAAAAGTTAGGTTTGTTAGTCTCTGGTGTGTCTGTGTGAGCATGCTTCAGTCGGTCATGCAATATGATACCACCCCTACCTGCTTCGTAACCTTCTAGTTAAATGCGCATTTGAGAAGAAATTTTTGAGGATCCTTCTACACAAATGAGGTCAGATAGATAGAAAACAGCTGAGTTTTCTAAAGCTGAAATTATTTCACTTATACACATGTGGGTACTAAAGAACCCATTTACTCAGTGAAATCCTAGGATCTATATTTGGAGACTCTAATTGCAAATCAACTCCTATAAGTTTATAATTGATATATATTTCGATCTTTTGTGACACTAATCAGAATCTTATTGTTAGGTCTGTACATGGTTCCTGGCTGTGGCAACTCCTCTAGAGTCGCTGCCTCAACGCCGCCGCGTCGTGCGCTGGGGGTGGGGGCAGGGGCAGGGGCAGGGGCAGGGCGGGGGGTGCAGCTCCGGCCAGGAGGCCTTTCGGGCCGGGGGGCGTGTTCGCCAGGGGCTCCGCAGATGGGAGCTCAGCTTGCAGGCTGTTCCAGGTTTTTCACTTTGATCTTTATATGGATATGTCAGCAAAGAAATGTTTAGACTCAGTTATGACTTAGTATATTAATGGGTGAATACATTTAATAGACTAGAGCACTAGAATACAGAAATATTTTTTGGTAAATTATTTTCCAGTGTTAAATATGGTTTTGTGAATGACCAAACATGACTTTGGGATTGGTATTTAAGATAGTTTTCAGAGTATATACATATAAATTATGTTTGCGAACCTATTATGATAAATTCTAAAAAGTTTCATTTTATTCGCACGGTTTTATAATAACTTATAACTGGGAAAAATGTTTAGGCATGTTGTAGTACTTGACATTCACTAACGAAAGATACTTTATTTTCCTTAAGGCAGAAAGCCCGTAACAGGCTAAGCGCACTCACCTCCCTGTGGGCAGGCATGGGGGGAGGGCACTGCGTGTTTCAGAAGCAGGCAGAACGGGCAGAGCAGAGTGAGTTTAACACAGAAACGCCGGACACGGGGAACCCACGGCCGAGGGGCGGCTTCCGAGAGAGCCCAGCCTTTGTGCTCCCAGCTTGCCTTTTTGCCATGTGATGTGAACGCGACTGGGTTTTTACATTTTTTAATTTTCGAAACTGTGAGTGTGACGTGGACTCATGTGGCATGCCGTCCTGTGCGTATGTAAAAGCACATAAGGGTGTGTTTAACCAGCGTCCCGATCGGCGTCCAGGACAGGACGCAGGGCCACCCCGCAGCCCCTCCAGGTCCCCTTTGCGGCTGCGTCCTGCCTGCGTCTGCGGCCCGAGCAGCCGCCTGCGTCCGCGTGGAGGGCGGGCCCCTCCCCTACGGCCTGCACAGCCTCCCTTTGCCTCTGCCACTCAGAAGCTGTGTTATGTGTTAGGTGCGCGCCTCTGTGGGTTTATTCTGCTCAGGTAGCTCAGCCTTTTGCGTTTGTAGATTCGAGTATTTTGTTAAATTCAGGTATGTATTTGCCATTATTTCTTCAAATAACCTTTTGCCACTTACTATTTTTTTCTTTCTGAGATTCACTTAACGTGATATTGGTCCTCTTGCTAGTATCCCACAAGTCCCTTGGGTCAATTTACTTTTCTTCTTTTTCTTGTGGCTCCTTAGACTTGATGATTTCAAGTGTTCAGTCTTCAAGTCTACTGATTATTTTTGTTGCTTCCTCAAATGTGCTATTTAGCTCTTCTAGTGAATTTTTCAAGTCAGTTATTACTTTTTTTAGCTCCACAATTTCTGATGGTTTCCTTTTATCATTTTTCTTTGTTAATATTCTCATTTTGTTCATACATTGTTTTTCTTATTTCCTTTAGTTCTTAGTGTGTTCCCCATTAGCCCTTCGAGCATATTGAAAGCAGTTGTTTTAAAGTCTTTGGTGCATCCAGCCCACCTGATGCCCGTGTTTCCGTAGGCAGTTTCTGGAGATTAATTCTTTTGAATGGGCTGTGTTTTTATGTTTATTGTTTACCTTTTGGATTTTTTTTTAATGAAAATTGGACATCCAAAGAAAACAGCCACCTTCCCCCGCAGGTCTTTGCGGGCTGGTGAGAAGGAACCTTGCTCGTGAGCTGGACGTGCCCGGAGCCTGTGTATCAGCCCCGGGGAAATGTGTTTCCCTGTGTTTTGTGAACATGTGACTTTCTTTCCTGGGCCAGCGTGTGGGTTTTTTTCCATTTCCCATACACATGGCTGATTTTGAATGTCTCTATTTTTTTAATCTTCCCCTGAGGGCATTTTTTCATGACTTTTAGAGAGAGGAAGGGAGAGAGAGAAGCATCAGTCGGTTGCTTCCTGTGCACCCAGACTGGGGATCGTACGTGTCCTGACCGGGGATCGAACCCACAGCCTTCGGTTCCAGGACGATACTCCAACCAGCTGAGCCACATCGTCCAGGGCTGACTTTGGAGTTTCACAGAGACTCACCTCAGTTTCTCCTTGCGGCCCCAGACTGTGTGTTCCATGTTGTGTGGCCCCACCCAGCCACTTGCCCTGGGGTCTGGGGTCTGGAGAGTCCTGCCTCTCTCACGGTCAGAGCCCGCGCTGAGTGAGGTCCCGGTGACAGCTGCCACTGGCTCCTCGGCCAGCCCTGCGGCTGGCTGGCCTGCCCTCAGTGGCTCCGGGGCCGCCCCTCCTCTGGATGGGGTCTGCTGCACACTGCGGGGGCGGGGGTGCTGCGTCGACCTGCCGCGGGGGCTCCTGCCCTGTGTCTGCGGCCTCCTGTCAGGTTCGCTTGGTCGCTCTAGGCCTTGGACTGCTTTCCGGAGCTCTTACCATATATTATTAGTTTCTGGTGGTTTTTGATGTTTCTGTTAGGGGGAACAAGGGCTGGAGCTTTTGTGTGTAATTTTGCCCTTCCTGTTGTTTTAAGGGAAGATTTTATTTTCCTTGGCGCGTAAGAAGCTTCTGAGCATGTTTGTAGTGAGCAAGTGTAGTGTGTGAGCAACGGTTCAAGAGGAGGAGGAGGAGGAAACGAGACATGGCCTTGGAGGGGACGGGATGGCAGGCGTGCGGAGAAAACACAGCTGAGAGTGAAGCGCAGGGTCCGAGGCCAGGGCAGGGTCCGAGGCCAGGGCAGGTGGCGTGCGGGCTGCGGAAGGTGAGGATTCAGAACCCGGCGGTGAGGCCCCACCCGGCCCGGCTGGACCAGCGGCTGGGAGCGGGGTGGGCGTGGCCAGCCCAGCGAGGCGGCCCTGGGCGCGCTCTCGGGGTCTGTCTGGGGGCGCAGCTGCTTGTTCTCGAGGGTCCCCGGGGACGGGCCTCCGGGGCGCGTGGGTGCTGCGTCACAGGCTCCGCGTTTGTGACCTTGCGTTGTCCATGTGGTAAAGCACCGCGCCTCCTCCACGCACGTGAGGAGCCGTGAGTGGGGCTCCGCCTGGCCCCTCGCTCCCTGGGCCCGTTGCCCAGAGCTGATGGCGTGTGGCCTTTCGACTGGTCTTGTACTCTGCTCTTTTTATGCATATTTCCCAAGTAATTTATATATCCTCTTTCTTGATTTTTCATTTTTGTGACAGTAAGTTTTCATTTAGCGTCGTCAGGAGGTTCCGAGGCCGGTTTCGCCGCAGGCCAGTTGGTACGAACCAGACCTGGGTTCTTGTGGCATCTCAGTGGCGACCGCGAAGCGCCGGGGAGCAGGGCGGCGTGACGCGAGGGCCTGCTGTGGCCGGCCTGTGTCCGCGCTGTCGCCTCGCAGTGTTGCCGCGCCCACGTCCGTGCGCGGCTGGGCTCATTCCCACTCCTGTGCGGCGCTTCCGTGGACGGGGTCGGCTTCTGTTGTCGCGCGTGCTGCACCTCTGTGTCCGACTCAGTCAGACGCGCTCACGCGGCGCCTGCAGGCGCCTGTCCTGCGGCAGCTGCGCCCCGGGGCCTTCCTCGCTCGCTCTCCCTGCGTGCGCCTCGCTTTCGTCCCTGTGTCCGGCCCCTGTGGCATCTCCTTTCGGGTTTTACTCACTTGGTTGGACCTAGAGCTTTAGTAACTTTCTGGGAAATGCATTTTTAAAAAATTTCGCTTGTCTGAAAATATTTTTTGTACTCCCACTTTTTGTAACTGGACTGCTTAGAATTCTAGGTATTAAACATTTTTTCCTCGGAAATTGAAGGTATTATTCTGTGACCACCTGTTGCATGTGTTGCTGCTAAAAATCGGACGCCGTTCTCTCCTGTATGTAGCTTGCTTTCCGCTCCAGAAGGTTCGGGTTTGTGTCTTTATTCCCCACAATCCAAGGAGCCCCAGCAACGAGCCCTGCGGCCCCCGTGCGCTTTCTGCCGGCGTTTGGTGGGTCCTCACGGTGGCACACGCGTGCCCCGCCGTCCTGGGAAATCTCTCTCGTTACTTCTGCGATAACTTCCTCCTCCTGTGTCCACCTCCTTGGCTTTGTTATAGTTGTTGACGTGATTTCTTTTACTTTCTCTTTGGAATCCGGGATTGATTTTTAAAATATTTGTGTGAGTTTTAATTCCCAGGAGCTTTGGCTTTTTAAATTTGTTTTGTTGCTGTTCTTTGAATGCGCCTTTGGTATAGCATACGGTTCTTGTTGCATGAATACACCACCTTCTAAAAGGATTTTACAATTTTTTCTTTTAAAGTTCTCTATGCATTGCTTTCGACTCTTCCATCTTCCTTTTTTCCTTGTCTCGTCCTTTTTCTCTGGCTCTGGCATTATAATGAAGACTTTCTTCACCGCTTGGTGACCTGTGGCCGTCATTGGTGCTCGAGCGCCGAGCAGGGTTCCGAAGCCTGTGCGCGTGGCCGGCGCGTTGCCTGGTAGGCCCCCTGCAGAGAGTTAGGGTGGCAAGCTGGTTGTCCTTTTCACTAAGGGATCTGCAAAAGCCAGGAGTTTCGGAGCCCATCACCATGCTAGGAAAGGATGACCTCATCCTAATCTAGAGTTTTGGGATCCGGCTGGATGTGTGAGGGCTCAGCAGTGCGCTGTTTCCCGAGGACACTCCGTTATGTTCCTGTCGTCGACCCCCCCGCCCCCCCTTCCGCCGGCTCACCCCTCTGGCCGAGCGCCGCCGGCTCGTTGGGACCGGCCGGCGCCTGCTGCACTTGTGAGGCTGCGCCTGGGCGCTCGGCCCTTCTAGCCGGGCTTTCCCCAGGTCTTTGTTTTCGGTTCGCCCCTTGGTTCAGAAATCTTCCCACGAGGGGAGCCTTCCGGTCCGCAGCCCCCTGCGGCGGCCAGGGCTCCGCCTGCCTGGGTGCGGCAGGTCGCCGCCTGTCCTGTCCCCAAAACTCGGCTGACGTCCCGTGTCTGCTACATTTCTTTTCTCTTTTCCCATTATCTTTGTCCTTATGCCTTTAAACGTTTCCTCTTTAAAATTATGTATTGATTTGAGAGAGAGAGACAGACAGACGGACACATTGATTTGTTCCGCTTATTTATGCCTCATTGGTTGATTCGTGCATGTGCCCTGACCGGGGATCGAACAGGCAACCCTGGTGCACCAGGACGACGCTCTAACCGTTGGAGCTCCCAGGCAGGCTAACATTTTGCTTTGCTGCCATTTTAATGAAGTGTGGGGGCGAAGCACGCATGAAG